TTCAAAACTGTTATACCCTGTTTGAGAATGTTTTGTTCAACATTCTTAATTTGTAATTTGTAAATAAAAAACAAGGGTTCATGACTGGCAAATACCTTATGACGAACTAGTCGTGACCAGATTAAAACCCAGTCTCTTACCTTGAATCAGGAGTTCGTATGGAAAAAACCTGCTCCTGGCTGGGTGTGGTAGCTCTCACCTGTAATTTGAGCATTCAGGATTACTGAATAAAATTACTGAATAAAACAAAGTTTATTATGTATGTGCTTTTGTATGTAATTTTTAAATACATTTGGATATAAGTCTTTATGAAAAATTAATGGAAATACAATAAAGAAAACACTGATTAACTTTTTTCTTTACCTTTTTCAGATTTACCCCTCTGGCTTGGGGGAGAGGAACACTAGAATTAGAACTGTGTCATAACACGAAGCATACCTTAGTTGTACAGAGCAAAACCAAACTAAATGTTCTAGCTCCTCGAGTTTTACCCATTGTCCGTGTCCCACCATGTAATTTTTCATATTGTACTGTGTTTTCTAAATGTTTCATTTATTAAACACAACAAAGTACAGCAGCAAAAGCACAGACTGTGAAAAGAGTTCTGGGTTTAATCCTGTTTGTCTCTAAACCTCATTTACCAAATCTGTAAAATGGGTGTTATAATGGGTACTTCAAGGATTGCTTTGAGGACTAAGGAGATGATGTATTCTTACCACACACACAACTTAGACTCAGTTATAATGATGTTTTCCTGCTTAGTCGGCTTTTGGTCTTTTGCTTATATTCTTGTTTTTTTTATTTCATTAGAAGTAGAGGGCCCCAAAATTCAGGGCAGAGGGAAAAATGAACACTTTCTGTGACCAAGGTTCCTTTCCTTTTGAGTTTGCTCTGTTTGTGTGAGAAGTGTGCTTATTTTATGCCTTAAATGATTTTTCTGTTAAATGACATTGGGTAGAGCTTGGAATATTTCAGCTAGTAATTAATGTTCTCAGAGATTTCCACTGTTCTATAAAAGCATCTAAATTCATTTATTTTACCTTTATTTTCAGCCCTATTACTTATGCATGGGAAGGTGGAAAATTGATATCAGAGAATGATGATTTTGAAGATATGGTGGTAACAAGAGAAGATTATGAAGAAAATGGGCACAGTGTCTGTGAAGAGAAATTTGATATTTAAGAAACATTTCTGAATGAAAGTCTTGATTTGTGATTGAAAGGTTTAATTTCAATCTTCCTTTTAAAAGAGGTTAAGGAACTGTGTTCCTTTCATCCTATGATAAAGCCTTGAGTTTATGTAAATCCTTCAGTTTCTTGTGAATTTTCAAAGGCTTCTTAGCTAGGTAATTACTATAAAATGTAACTCAGCCCTTTCTTTGCTTTAGGAGCTAGCCTGCCGTGATAGTGTTTATGCTGTTTCTGAGAGTGGGTTTGTTTTTCATTAGAAGATGAAAGAGTAAATGCATTTTAAGTTGAATTCTTCATAGCTGAAAGCACAATCTTTGCTGTCTCACTGCTTAGTTTTCCTTAGAAGGTAGTTGTGTGTGACTGTGACTAGGAATTGGTTAAAGTGTTTTCAGGGTGATGACTGTTTCTTCTCTCTTTTAGAAATAAGTATTTAAAAAGTGTTATTTATACATATTAAAGTTGGAAGGACTAATCTTATACATATATTAAAAAATGTTTAATTTTTACTTAGAATATGTTTGAAAAGGTGGAGACTAAAGCTAATTTAATAAAGTGTTTTTTGTTACTACTATGTTGGCAGAAATGTATTATTTCACTCATAAAAGTACTATACTATATTTTAGGATGAAAAGAAATTTGAAGTTAGTTCAGGGTTTTTCAAGAACTCTTGATACACATCTTAGTATTTTGTTTTAAAACTCTTTATGATCTATTCTCCTGTAAACATACTAAGGTGTTAAAGGCTCCAGCTTTCCAATTTAAAGAGTGCAGTGACATCAATGAATACATCAGGTGGACTTTTTTGATTGTAAGCAATAGAAATTCATTTGGGCCAGCAAAACAAAATCTATCAGCATGACAGAGGATAGCTTACAAAATCCAAGAAAAGCTGAATCAGCAGCCTTAGGAAGGAAAAAGTCCAGAGTAACCTAGGAATTTAGGTTATAGAAACTTAGGGGCAGACTTTCTAGAGCCCTGCCGTCAAAATATCTCAGCTCCTATATTTTGTGTCTTATAATGTTATACTCATGAATCAAATTGTTCAGTCTTTTCAGCTCAATTAGGATCATGCATCTTCCGTATGGCTAGAGAGGGTTTGACAATCCTGCTAAGATGGCCTAAACTGAAAGAAGATAGTTTCTCCAAAGGACAATGGAAGTGAAATGATGGATGCTGGACAGAATGAAAGATCTGTCCAGTTATATTTGGATTGTGTTGGTTAGTGCTGGCTCAGCCCTTCCTAAACCTGGACTGGTTATCATGTATTTGTGTGCTACCTAGTTACTAGCATGTAATCAGGGGGCATAAAAAGTTTTTGCAAGCAAATAGTGTAAGTAGTGTTTGAATTTTGAGGTGAAGTAGCTGAAGGTAAAAGGCAATTCCTCATTTAAAAGGCTTTGCTCGGCTCGGCGCCTGTGGCTCAAGTGGCTAGGGTGCCAGCCACATACACCTAAGGTGGTGGGTTTGAATCCAGCCTGGGCCCGCCGGACAACAATGACAGCTGCAACCAAAAACAGCCGGGCGTTGTGGCAGGCGCCTGTGGTCCCAGCTACTTGGGAGGCAGAGGCAGGAGACTCGCTTGAGCCCAGGAGTTGGAGGTTGCTGTG